AATTTAAAGGCTATTGTTCACTTAGCCTACATCTATTTTTATTACCACAAAAATGTATTATTAATTATAATATTTTATTAGTAGTAGGCCAGAACATGTGGACATGTCATTCTTACACTATAATACTAAACTTTGGTTTCAGTGATTTGGACTATGAGATGGACACTTGCTTTTTGCACTCTCTTTACTTTACTTTACTTTACTTTTGCTTTAAAAAAGGATTTCATAGAAATTTGGATTTCATTTGGAGTTTCACTACTGAAGTCCTCTGTTATTTTTTTTTCATCATGCTGGAGATGTCTGTTTAAATCTGTTGTTTACACATTTCTAATAGTACCTTCAATATTTCAATTTTTTAATAATACATTTTAATAATAAAATGTTAATACTTGATTCTAGTGGACTCTCAACATTGCATTTATTTAATGTGAAAACCCAACTGTTGGGGTTAATTGAAACAGATTTTTTTTTCCCTTTGTAGTTGCACTCACAGCTGTAATTAACAGAAGCCCAGAGCATGTGGATATATTGACATTAAGAACATGCTGACTTTCTCAGACTTTTGTAATTATTTTCTTTTTATTTCATTTTTTTTTTAGGTTTGTTTACATTTTTACTCTTTTAGTTTTACATTTTGTCAATGGCTTGTTTACATTTATACTTTTTTATGGTACACTGCTGAATGGCAAAGTTGCAAGTTTAATAAAATGTTCTTTAAAATTGTTGAATTTTTGTGGGAAATTAATTGTTTAGATTAATCGATAAATTAGTCGATAGATTAATCAAAATAGTTGTTAGTGGCAGCCCTAAGATAATTACAAACACAGGTTCTGTATTCCTCAAACTGCATCAAAATGCATGGATGCAAACACCATATAAATCGGCATTCATTCAATAACACAACACTCGCTACTGTGAGGGAGCGCGGAACGAGGAGATGTGGGTTACATAAACAAGGAGACTTTAATCACATGCAGGGAACCAGGAAAACACACGTAGCAGAGGAGGTAGACATAAAAAATTCCGGACAAGGGAGAACAGAACGGACTAGAACTCAAATAGGGCAGATAACGAAAAATTTTGAGCTCTAAAAAAATACATTTTGTACACACAAAAGAAACATACACATGGATGAATCATTCACAATAATATAAATTATTAATTGATCAAGATGAATTGATAAAATAGATAGGGTGAACAATGCTAATTCTAAATGCTGATGAAGGGGTACTTGAGGCTTAGCTAATGGTGCTGTGGGGTAAATAAGAAAAAAAAAGCTGAGAAACAATCCAGTGTTTTGAACTTACCAAAACCTAACCGTCGTATTCTGTCTAGCAACAGATATAAGGAACCTCTCTTCTTACTGGGATTATGCTCTCCTAGACCACCTGAGAGAAACAAAACATACAAGGGAGTTATATTGAGAATGCTGTGAAAGTGATATTTTAATTTTATGAGAACACTGTGTGATTGTTTTTGCTACTCTTTGAGTTAACTTTCTTTAAAGGGACAGTTCCCCCAAAACCGAAAATGTTACCATTAACTACTCATCATCATGTTGTTCCAAACCCGTAAGACCTTTGTTCATCTTCAGAACACAAATTAAATGTTTTTTAATGAAATCTGAGAGCTCTCTGACCCTGCACAGACAGCAACGTAAATGAAATGTTCCCAGACCCAGAAATGTAAAATAAATAAATTGTTAAATAAAGTCGTTATTTTTGCTTTCTTTGTACACAGAAATAATTCTCGTAGCTTTGTAAAATTGAGGTTGAACCACTGATGTCACATGGACTGTTTTACCGATTTCTTTGCTACGTTTCTAGGCCTGGGTACATCTCAGTTACATTCCTCTCTATGCAGGGTCAGAGAGCTCTCATATTTCATCAAAAATATCTTAATTTTTGTTCAGAAGATGAACAAAGGTCTTACGAGTTTGGAACGAAGTGAGGATGAGTAATTAATGACAGAATTTTCATTGTTGAGTGAACCATCCCTTTAAATCAAGTTTAACTGGTGCCATTATAAAATTACATGAACACAGTCAGTGAGCCGAGAAACTTCCATCACCAGCTCTCTGCCATTATCACACTTATTGTATCTGTCCTCACCTCTCCTCATTCACCAGCCTCTTCTCCCTCATTCAACATCTCACCTACTCTTGTCTTTTACTCCCAGGGTTCTCACTGGACATCTCTATTCACACATGTCAGTTCCTCTGCTATCTTACTTTTGCATTTACTCTGTCTCTCTCTTTCTCTGGAATTGCTCTGATGGGGACAGGAAAGTGAGGAACAAACAATACTCTGAAATCCAAGACACAGGAAAAGTCAGAGCTTTGGGATTAATGTGCGCACAAACACTCTATCTCTTGCACATAACACTGGCAGGTAGACAAGTGTGTGCCTCCATGACAGCATCCTAATGAATCTGAACTGTACTCGTCCAGAGTGAGCAAAAGGGCTGGCAGAATCACTCTGGACCCCTCACATCCAGCTCACTCCCTCTTTGAACTGTTGCCATCTGGTCGACGCTCCAGAGCTCTGAGCACCAGAACGACCAGACACAGGAACAGTTTTTTCCCTCAGGCCATCCATCTCATGAACACTTGACAATAACTGTGGAACACACACTATTTATTCACTCATACCCTTATTTATCTAACACTCATACTCAGTCTACATTTCAATTTGCACATAATATACCTGTACATACAACTGTCTATTGTTATATACCTGTACATACAATTGTCGATTTGTATATTTTTATTCCTTAGTTACTTGTTCTATTTTTCTATTTTTTATTATCTGTGTTTTTGTTCTGTCACTGTCATTCTGTTACACTGTGGAGCTTCTGTCATGAAAACAAATTCCTTGTATGTGTAAACATACCTGGCAATAAAAACTCATTCTCATAAAATTTTGAGCTCTAAAAAAATACATTTTGTACACACAAAAGAAACATACACATGGATGAATCATTCACAATAATATAAATTATTAATTGATCAAGATGAATTGATAAAATAGATAGGGTGAACAATGCTAATTCTAAATGCTGATGAAGGGGTACTTGAGGCTTAGCTAATGGTGCTGTGGGGTAAATAAGAAAAAAAAAGCTGAGAAACAATCCAGTGTTTTGAACTTACCAAAACCTAACCGTCGTATTCTGTCTAGCAACAGATATAAGGAACCTCTCTTCTTACTGGGATTATGCTCTCCTAGACCACCTGAGAGAAACAAAACATACAAGGGAGTTATATTGAGAATGCTGTGAAAGTGATATTTTAATTTTATGAGAACACTGTGTGATTGTTTTTGCTACTCTTTGAGTTAACTTTCTTTAAAGGGACAGTTCCCCCAAAACCGAAAATGTTACCATTAACTACTCATCATCATGTTGTTCCAAACCCGTAAGACCTTTGTTCATCTTCAGAACACAAATTAAATGTTTTTTAATGAAATCTGAGAGCTCTCTGACCCTGCACAGACAGCAACGTAAATGAAATGTTCCCAGACCCAGAAATGTAAAATAAATAAATTGTTAAATAAAGTCGTTATTTTTGCTTTCTTTGTACACAGAAATAATTCTCGTAGCTTTGTAAAATTGAGGTTGAACCACTGATGTCACATGGACTGTTTTACCGATTTCTTTGCTACGTTTCTAGGCCTGGGTACATCTCAGTTACATTCCTCTCTATGCAGGGTCAGAGAGCTCTCATATTTCATCAAAAATATCTTAATTTTTGTTCAGAAGATGAACAAAGGTCTTACGAGTTTGGAACGAAGTGAGGATGAGTAATTAATGACAGAATTTTCATTGTTGAGTGAACCATCCCTTTAAATCAAGTTTAACTGGTGCCATTATAAAATTACATGAACACAGTCAGTGAGCCGAGAAACTTCCATCACCAGCTCTCTGCCATTATCACACTTATTGTATCTGTCCTCACCTCTCCTCATTCACCAGCCTCTTCTCCCTCATTCAACATCTCACCTACTCTTGTCTTTTACTCCCAGGGTTCTCACTGGACATCTCTATTCACACATGTCAGTTCCTCTGCTATCTTACTTTTGCATTTACTCTGTCTCTCTCTTTCTCTGGAATTGCTCTGATGGGGACAGGAAAGTGAGGAACAAACAATACTCTGAAATCCAAGACACAGGAAAAGTCAGAGCTTTGGGATTAATGTGCGCACAAACACTCTATCTCTTGCACATAACACTGGCAGGTATACAAGTGTGTGTCTCCATGACAGCATCCTAATGAATCTGGAAATATCCAAGAAAGACCTGTCCTGACTGGTTTAAACATGCATCAGTTCTCCTGCTATTCCTGGTCCTGATGCAGTTTGCCCTTCTGCCCTGGTGGCACATCCTGTAACAACCCCAGTCAGAGCGGAAACACAAAGCTGAATCCTTATCATCTTTTTGGCCTCACTTCCATCTTTGTGCTGCCAAAGACTCAGACGATGATAAAGGTGATGTTGCTGACAATGCCGCTACCCAGCAAGGTAAAGTTCTCTTAGTTGGCTGCTAGTCTGTGAGTAGTCATTACTCATACCAGTGATTGTATCCTGTTTTAAACGCAGAGTTTACCTTAACAATGTGCCACTGGGAAAGTCACACACGCACATTTTGACTTCGGTCAGTTTAGATATAAGCAAGGAAGGATTTTGTTAACAATGTTTATTCTAACTCACAAAGAAACAAACATTTGCACACACACATACGCTTCTGCACTTTTCCCATTGCATAAGAAGCAAAAGACAAAGACCTTGCAACGCAAACACACACACAGTTGTTTGCTGATGGTGCAGTGGAGTTGAGACAGGAGCATTAATCAAGTCTAATCACCTGAAGCTATAAACTCCCAATATCCCTACACATTCTTCAACTTCAGTACGACTTCAATAAGTTTAAATCATCCACAGCCCACAACACAATCATGGACATTCATTCCATCCTTTTGACAACTCAGCATCTCAGACTGATCAAGACATTATCTTAAATACAAATCCACACAGACTATGTGTATGTTTCTGGGTCATCCTGCAGTCGAAACTAAGCAGAGGCCAGCCCTAGATCAGAGCATTTAACGCCTAGAGGAAGGTCTGACTTCAAACATGACATCGGGACAAAAAAAAGCACATGGCCAGCTTCAAGGACTGAGTGAAACAGAAGCTCAAACCTTGAACCTTACTGTAGAACGAGTCATTGTTGCTGTTCTGCACCAGAAACAACCTTCAACCCTCAGCAGCTGCTCACTGCAGCTTTAACCTCGTCTGCTGCACATCTGCTACTGAACTCAGCTGAAAAAAACATGTGCATTAAAACCGCAAACTAAACTGAGGACCTTTCATTTTTTAAATCCAGATTATGTGACAGATTTATAATGTCTAAAGTGTGTTGTAGGGATCTAGACAGAAAAAATACTAGATCAAATAACTAGAACTAACAATAAACATTTAGCAGCCATATTACTTTTTAGATGCCAAAATACGAAACAAAGCTGACTGTTCAGAAGCAATGCTCTATAATATGTTCGTAAAATTCTGTTGAGACTATTTAAAAAGCATACAGATTTAAAGGTGCAGTAGGAGATGAAAATGCTAACTTTAGCCTGATAGCACTGAAAGCGAACATCACACCCTCCCTGCAAATCGCCGTCCAAAGCCACACCTCCTGAAAGCGTGAACGCGAAGTTCGCAAACAGATCAGACAACCAGAGACAACATTACTGTAATACATCATATGTCATTTACCGGTGAGAAAACTTTATAGTACAGTTAGTAAAAGTACTACAATACCAGGAAGGAAGGTCAGATTGTTGATGTTTGTCTGCCATTCTCACTCTGTCTGCATAGTGTACGTGAATGCACTGATGACGTATCCTGTCTGCGCGAACCGGGTGTGCACAGGTATGCAAATGCATATGCTGACAGGCAGGTAGGAAAGTCAATAAAAATGCTTGGAACGAGCATTTTGATTGGACGAACATTTCTTGGTCCTACGCCTTCCACAGAATATATAAATACATATAAATACATTTAGACCACTTGACTTAATGATTGCTATAGGGATGTGAAGAGACTGTCAACCAGTATAACAAAAAATGTTTCTGAAGACAATCACCTATTGCACCTTTAAAAGGATACTCCACCCCAAAATGAAAATTGTGTCATTAATCACTTACCCCATGTTGTTCCAAACCCGTAAAAGCTTCGTTCACCTTCGAAACACAATTTAAGATAATTTGGATGAAAACCGGGAGGCTTGTGTCTGTCCGATTGACTGCCAAGTATATTACACTGTCAAGGTCCAGAAAAGTATGAAAGACATCGTCAGAATAGTCCATCTGCCATCAGTGGTTCAACCGTAACATTATGAACCGACAAGAATACTTTTTGTACGCGAAGAAGACTAAAATAACAACTTTATTCAACAATTCGTCTCCGCTGTGTCTCTCCGCATCACCGTAGCGCCATTTTGGAGAATAACCACTGAGCGCAAGCAGCCTACGCTCTTCTGTGCCAAAATGGCGCTACGGTAATGCGGAGAGACACAGAGGAGACGAATTGTTGAATAAAGTCGTTATTTTTGTTTTCTTCGCGTACAAAAAGTATTCTCGTCTACTGATGGCAGATGGACTATTCTGACGATGTCTTTCATACTTTTCTGGACCTTGACAGTGTAATTTACTTGGCAGTCAATCGGACAGTCAAAAGCCTCCCGGTTTTCATCCAAAATATCTTAAATTGTGTTCCGAAGACGAACAACGCTTTAACAGGTTTGGAACGACATGGCGGTAAGTGACACAATTTTCATTTTGGGGTGGAGTATCCCTTTAAGTCTCAGTCAGCTGTTAACCCAGTAGCTGCTCAGATGATTTACTGACGAAGTAAGCCTGATTCAAACTACTAAATCACAAGTGAGTTTGAGGCCGTTTCACAAATCCTAAAAAGTACCACTTTATAAGAGTCATTTGTTCACAAATCGGACAATTTTCAATGACTGTCGACAACTGCAGTCTGGAGTGCTGTGATATCTGATGTGCCTTACCCGACGTGTGTCCCTGTCTCCCATGTGACTGCTGTGAAAGCTCTATCGTTCCATCGATCTGAAACATTTTCAAGTCCTCTTCATCCAAGGCAATATCTCCCCAAAATACAGCTGGAAAAAGAAACAGAGAAGGATATTATTAGAGGACACAAATACACACTCTTTGGCAGCACCATAGATTGATGGTCTATGTGCTGGCAGACACGTCTGAAACTCAGATCAGCGTGGCCTGAGCTATTGACTGATGCTAATTTAAGGTTTGCTGCATATGCGATCGATTGACAAGTTAACATGAGAGGAAACATCTTAGGTTGACAACTTGCCCTTTGCTCTCGCACCCTCAAATGCTGATTAAAAATTAATAAGCGGATGTCGGGGTATATACATCCTGTTGCAATCTGACCAACCTGTTCACATAATGTATAATGCACCGTATCACACTTGTCCTAACATTCCTAACGTTCAGCTACAGTCATGACATCATACATCCTTAAATTATCCTGTCAGCAAGGTCTTAGAGATGGCCATGAAAAAGAAGATAATATTGGGAACTATGCCATTTGTGTGTGCGAGTAGTTTTGGCAGGGAATTCACTCCTCAACCTTGATATAAAACAATAAACAATGAAGATTATGCTTTAAGCTATCTTGATTGTTCCATATTGGAATAAACCCTGCCCTTGTGCATGCATGTGTGTGCGAGTGTGTATATGCGTATGTACACGTCACAGTGAACTGCACCTTTAGGCCACCACTATTGTTTCTAATGCATTGTTTGTGTGTATGCGCACATGTGTATACAAGCATTCTTCCCCTCCTCCATCAACTCCTCAGACATTATTCAGCTTTAATCCGTGATCGTGATCCGTATCACATTCATATAAAGCTGGAGTCTCCTCTGGATCACACCCTTCATAGAGAACTGATATTAGCGATGATCTAACCCCACTCCATTTATCAGTGGGACTCTGAAACAATCTAAAACAAAATGAGCATTAAAAATGTCCCTTTCCCATCACAAAAAATATATTTTTTATTAATTTAAAGGGGTCATATGATGCGATTTCAAGTTTTCCTTTCTCTTTGGAGTGTTTCAACCTGATTGTGCATAGATAAGATCCCTGAAGTTACAAAGACTAAAGTCTCAAATCCAAAGAGATGTTCTTTATCAAAGTTAAGACTCTGCCACGCCCCCCTAAAACGGCTCATTATAACACGCCCCCACATATCTACCTCACTATGTGGAAATATTTGCATAATGCCACCCAAATGTGCACGCAAAGAAAGAAGGCGTGGTTTCAGTAACTGACCCCTTTAAAATGAATCATATTTATATTTAGATTACTTTGTTTAATTTAACATTTTTTTTATATTTTACACTGTAAAAAAATCCATAAAATTTACATTTAAAAAAGGCAGCTGTGGTTGCCAGAATTTTACTGTAAAAAATATGGTAGCAACATTTTAGGTTTTACGGTTAACTTAAATTTACATTTAAATACATTTAATACAAATATATTTAAATTTCATTAACTGATATAATGTTAATATACCAACCTACTGAAGTACTGAAATGTGTTTTCTATCTTTGTAATACACTGATAACTAGGGGAGCTCCGATTGATCGGTAACCGATCACTATTGGCCGATAATCGCTTTGGGATGATTGATCTGCGGTCTCTAAAAAGGCAGATCTCAACAAAACGATCTCAAGCTGATGAGACTTGTATCGATATTGTAGCACGTGTGCAGCAGTGGACCGCGCTTAATCTGAATACAAGAACAACGTTTAAAATTGAGCAGAAAATTGCGAGGTTTCTAAAAAAGAATGAATAGAGCATAATATATAGGCTATAACAAGGTTTAATCTGGCCGCAGAGGAACACAACTGGGTTGCCTGATATAAAGAGACGTAATCCCCGAAACAGAGCCTCCCACTTGCACAATACGGAAATATCTGCTAAGTGTGCTACTTATCTTTGTCAACCTGGCAACCATGTGCACGCGCGCTCTCTCTCCACTGTGGATAAATGCGCTTGCTTTCGGATTTTACACCAGTTTTAGTTTTAGCTTGCAGTTTAGCGATCTCCACTTCAATATTCTATTCTCAGAAAAGTGTAATTCATCAAGTGTTAATTTATGAGAGAGAGAGAGAGAGAGAGAGGTTGTGTATGTATGAATTACCACCGTTTTGCCACGTTTCTCTATTAACAGTGAAACTGTGGCTTTAATTCCTTTAGAAAAAAACGATGTTACCAGCTCCTTGTTGAGAAAGATAATGTAGTTCTTGAGCGATTAAGCTATTTAGTTGATCAAATTGCGGGGAAGTGCTAAAAGTTTGTTCCTGAATGTCTGAGTGCAGTCGCAGCGTGATCTGTGTGAGTGACTGAGCGTGTGTGTGTGTGAGATACAGAAGACAGCACATTTAGAACTCTTATCATTTTTATTTTTTAAACGTAGAGAGTGTGTTAATTTGTGCAATGATAACCTACCAGAAATGTAAATATGATTTTTAAAAATATATTAGAATGAGTACATTATAATATAATTTTTTTAGAACGAGTACTATTTATGGGCTTAAAAATAAAATGCAAAAAATCTGAATATTGTACCTGGTGGGGAGTGCCCAATGTAAACATGAAACATATGCCATTACCTATATTGTACTGTGGTACAGTTATGGACAGTGGCAGCTCGTGGGTTTTAAAATAGAGGAGGCACACTAATTGTATTGGTCTGAGATCCCTGCCGATTATTATTATTTGCTTAACCACTTTAAAATGGCTTTTTGGTTGCTTTTAGTCAGAAAACGTAAAGAAAACGACACACATACAGCAAGATAATATAATTTCACTTGCCTGGCCTATCATTTGAAGCAAACATCCATCCCTTCTTAAAAGTCTGTGTTAAAAGAGAGCTGCCTGTTGCGCCATTTAATTAAGCCGACTGCTGTAGCCTATATCCAGCATAGGCTGTTTTCCCTTTTTTAAAATTTGTATATATACTGTTTGAATGACAGCTTGGTAAATCTGTTGGCAATCAAATATTCAATATCGCTACTCATAAGTACTTGGTACATTATCAGTGCTGCGGCAGACGTTCAATCTAATATCACTTAATTTACGTCTCTATGATGATTGGTTGATATCAGAAGGGAGGCTAGCCTTATGGTATTACAACTGTGAAATTTAAAACACATTCTGAGACATGAACTGAAATGAATTGTGAATTTTATTAACATTAAATCGTCCTCCTCCCATTTTCACCTCAAAATTATGGGGAAGCTGTGCCTCCCCTGCCTCCCCCGACGAGCCGCCACTGGTTATGGAGGCCCTTCATAATGCAGAGGTCAACTGCCTGTTCTGCCAATAGTTAGAAATGGCACTATACCATGCAGTGTTTAATAAACAGCTGTTTTACTAAATTCTTCTGAGGTGAAATTCAGTGCAGTCCCGTATCGTGATACATATCGTATCATGGCCTCTGTATCTTGATACGTATTGTATCGTGACTTTGCTGGTGATACACAGCCCTAATGTCCAATACAGTTTTTCATCGTATATAGTAGGGGAACTTACCGTTAACCATTTAACAGGTTTTTACTGTAGCATTTTTACAGTCTTTTACCATTAAATTCACTGTCATTTTTTACTGTGTAGATTATAATTTACAATATATATTTTTTAAATATTTTTAGATTTTAAATACACTTAAAAAATATGATTTACTGTAAATTTTTCACACATTTAAATGCAATCCTATTTCATCAAATGCTCTGTTTTACTTACAAAGAAAAGATGCAACTGCAAATTTGAATTTTTGCAGTAAATCACTGTGTGGTCTTAAATTGTTTCTTCCACACTATTTAAAAAGGCATGGATTACATAACAGCGTTAAATATGCAAATCTTGCTCACAGACTGCTATGCATATTTCCGTTTCTGCTAAATAATTTTATACTAAATAGCTGACATGAGGTCTCTCTGCAGTTGTCATAACAGCCTTGACAATGAGACAAGACTTTGAAATACAGTATGTGTACAGATGAACAAGACAAAGTGCTCAGACTTGACCACAGAGGAAAAGGCTTTGTGTTGAATTTGTACATTTATTTGAGAAGTCTGTGAGTGAAGCCCAGTAATGCCTCAGCAATCATGTATTCGCTTAACATCAGTGAGTCTTTGACTGCACATCTTAACTTAGCAGCAGTCAATAACTTCAGCTGTGATGATCGATAAACAGAGCAGAGTCTGTACTTAAGAATCGATTATGAACTGGAGGAGGGAAATCAGATGGGTTGTGTCTAACATGTGACCATCACAGTGGCATAGGATTGTTAACTGCATGATGTCTCTTTCATTGAGAAATTAAACTGATAGTTTAACAGCTTTACATCTGCTCAGATGGGAACATAGAGACCTCTGCAGAATGTGTCATCTGGAGGGGAATCAAATGTTTTGGCAAATGTGAAATTATAATCTCAGTTCCAAGGTTATTGTTGCGCGGCAGGAGGTGTGTTTAATCTGGGTGCAGATAAAAGTGTGTATTAAAATAGGAGATTATCCTGGAGGTCACACTACAGTTCCAAATGACTCTCCAGGTTATCCTGGAAACATCCAAGTCATTCTCACTGTTTCCTTTGAACGATTTAAGATTTGGAGGAGAGCATTGCTGTAACTAACTGTGCATTTAATTTGAGTAAACTTGTCTCAGCAAGTACACAGAGTTTTAGAAGTACTTTTTGCATTGCAAATCTCACCAAAGTAATAAAAAAGTAAATCAAAAGTGATACATTCAGCTAATCATATCAGAATCTAGTTTCTCAGATAAAAGCTCTGTTCCAAAATCTTCTGAGTTGCCTACCCTAAACAGCATTTTCAGGCATTATAAGTGGTGCTCTTGACACAATGGTAGGCAGCATAAATATCAATCCAACATGATGGATAAAGCAAGTGAATGGTTAATTATACATATATTTACAATTAATTGAATAAAAATAATTCAGTTTAATAAAAAAAAAATTATTTCACATAATATTTTTTGTGATCAGTTTTTAAATGCAAAAACCTATTCTGTGTGAATGGCTCCTCAAAAAGCAACTGTCTATGATAGC